CTACAACCCTAGGAGACAGCACTGTTATCAACCCCATTTTACAGAGGAAGAAACGGGGGGAAAGAGGTGAAGTTAACTTGCATAAGGCCACACAAAGCTAGTGCATCCTACGTAGGTCCGACACCCGGTAGGTAGATGGTTCAGCAGTTCATAGGCTCCAGGGACAACACATATGTAATAACTTAATCAATAAAGAAATTTAAAAAATAAAAATAAAAAAAGCTAAATCCATAGGCTCCAGGGACGCCGACCGTAATGGCTTCTGACTTGATTGTATGTCTGTCGGTGGTCAGGACTGTGTGGCCTGAGCCGTCAGTCTGACCTCCTCTCCCCATTTCCACCAGCAGTCAGTGGGGCAGGGAGCTCTCAGGGCTGGGCCAGCGATGGATGGTCCATGCGGGGGTGATGCAGGACCCCTCCCAGTGGCCCCATCTGAAGGAATGAGACAGAAATGAGGTTGTCTATGAAAACACCTGAGTCAAGCATAAAAATACTGCCTGACCCTGAGATGTGCTACTGAACAAGTGTTACATTGGCAGCTAAAGTTTGCCGAGCCTGGTAAGGACGAGAGGGAAGTACTTAATGGCCCAGGAATACTGTGTGTGTGTGTGTGTGTGTGTGTGTGTGTGTGTGTGTAATGTGTGATTAAGTGATCACTATTATGATGGGCCCATGGTGGGCCCTTAGCTCCTGTCGCCTCTGCAGAGGAGAGGTTGATTCAGGAGAAGGCATTTTCCTAACAATATTGTGGGTGGTTATCTACTAGGCACAAGGCTGGTGCAATTGGAATCCAACTAAGTCTAGGAAATGAAGAGAAACACGAAATGTTCCCACCAAAAACCTGGCAGGAACTCTATCAGGAAGTCACGATAGCCCTCCTGGTACACATCTGGAGCGAGCATCAGTGTGTGATGAGAAAGAGTTAGCACCTCTTGGGCTTCCCTTGGTGCCTCTTACCGAAGGACCCCGTAGCCGCCTTGCTTTATTGATTGGTTCCCTGGTGGCCCTGCTGAAATGTATCAGAGGCGTTGGCAGTCCCCTAAATGTGGTCTCAGCCGGCCTGCGAGAACCCCTCCCTCTACCCCTTTGAGCAGAGCTTGGGAGGTCTCCGGGGAGACCACAGAGGGGCGCAGAGGTCCGGGGAGGAGGGCTCCCAGGTTAGCCGTGATCTGTGCGATGATAATCTTGCAGACGCTGCCTGTCTTTTCTTCTAACACGTCAGCTGAAAGGAGACGACACACGGCTTCTTTCTTACGTCTGTTACTTAACATTCACCCTCCCCCATGTCACGCTCTGTAGCTGTAAAATCCTATGCAACCTCTTCGCAGAAATCTCATGAGCCCAGTGTTCTGTGCTCATGTTGGTAGCAAAATTTGCTTCTCCAGTGGGGCTTTTGATGTCTGGTGCCCAGCAATCTATATATATTTGGGAAAGACTCAGTGAGAGAAAATGCGAGCTTTGTTTGTTTAACAGACTTAATTTTTTAGAGCAGTTTTAGGTTCCCTGCAAAATTGAGCAGAATGAACAGAGATTTCCTCCACACATGCACAGCTTCTCCCTCAAGTGCAAGTTTCTAATTACTAAAGGCAAAGGTTGCCTTTTTTAAAATTTGAAAAGTAAAAATATACCCATAGAAAATATGGAAAATACAGAAAAAAAAAGTAGAGAAGACAATGGGGTGGTGAGGGCCTGGGAAGGGCGGAGGAAGGGGGAGGGCTGGGAGAGGTTAATAGGGGGAAAGGAGGACCTATGTAATACTTTCAACAATAAAAGTTAAAAGGAAAAGAAAAAGAAGTAGAGAAACGAAGTTACCTATAGTTCCATCATCCATAAAGAACTATTGCTTACATTTTAATGTATTTCTTTCTAATCTTTTTAAATTTGTATTTAATTTCTTTGTATATAATTTCTCCCCCCCACTTATTATAAAATATTCTATAAGCTCTTCTTAAATATGATTTAAAAATAATGGCTGCATAATACAGTCTCTTATACATGATACATACTTTATAATTATTTCACCAATCTCTACTCTTATAATACTGGGATAATCATTTTTGACATAAATCCGTGGTTATTACCTATTTTCTTGATTTTATTTCTTAGATGTAGAAATATTAACTCAAATGGTATAAAGGTATTTGCTTTATAATGTATACCACATAAATATTTCCTAAAAATATATGAAAAGTGAGCAAGACTACTGAGAATCAAAGAAATACAAGTAATGAGATAACACTCAGAATGGCAAAGACTTAGAAGATTGACAATGCCCGATGTTGATGAAGATGAGGGGATATGTGTTCTTTTATAGATATGTTGGTAAGAGAACAAATAGGCCATTTAAAAGTATATATACAAATAATGCATGAAAACATTCTTTTTTTGTTGTTGCTAATCCTCACCTGAGGATATTTTTTCACTGAATTTTTAGAGTGGAAGGGAGAGGGGAAACAGAGAGAGAGAAACATCAATGTGAGAAAGACACATCGATTGGTTGCCTCCTGCACACACCCCAACCAGGCCTGGGGATCGAGCCTGCAACCAAAATATGTGCCCTTGGCCAGAATCAACCCGGGACCCTTCAGTCTGTGGGCCGATGTTCTATCCGCTGAGCCAAACCAGCTAGGGCATGAAAACATTCTTCTAAAAATGCAATTAATACAGAAATATGCAGAGTAAAAATGGAAAGTTCTTCATCAGTCCCTCATCCTCACTCCCAGTTGGTACATTTCTGGAGGGCATTTGGGCAACAAACAAAATGTTTAACACCTGCCTAGTCTTTGACTCAGAATTTCCTCTTCTAGAAAAAAATCCTAAGGAAATGATAGGATCTACCTTCCCACAGAGGTAGATAGAGAAGTGTTCCTCTCAATATGACTCTTAATCGTAAGAACAGCTAACAGTTATCAGCCATTTACTAGATGCCAAGAACTATTCTAAAAACCTAACATCCGTTAACTCATTGGCTCCTCACAGAAACCCTGTGATATGGTAGGTATTATGGTTATTCCCATTTTATTGATGAGAACGCTGAGGTACAGAGAGGCCACAAAGCTAGTAAGTGGCCCTAAGGAATCAAGTCTAGGCAACCTGACTCAGAGGCCCACACTCTCAATCTTCATGCTATGCTGCCTCTACTGCTATAACAGTGAACACACAGGAACAAATCTATCAAAGGGACTTTATTTAATCAATTAGGGTACATCCATGCAATGCAATCTCATCAGCTTTCACAATGATGATGTAGATTGATTTTCATTGACATGAAAGAGGAAAAAGTGAAGCTATAGAACTATGTATCTATAATTCCATTCTTTTGGCTTTTACAATTCATATAGTTATGAGAAATTATGTAAATTTATCTGCACACAGAGAAAGAAGTCTGGAAGAAAATGAACACCAAAATGTTTTCTGTGGTTTTTTTCTGGAAGGTGCATTATAGGCGTCTTTCTTTTGCTCTTCATACATTTCTGTATTTGCAAAGTAAAACGATCCCATATTACTTTCATAATCTAAGAAGAGCAGGAAAGCTATTTTTAAAGGGCTGTGGCAATTGCTCCTTTTATCAGTGGATAGGAGAGCGCTGCTAGTTAATTTTCAAACAGAGAGCAGTGCTGCTTCACGCCACACCCAGATGAAGGGCTTTGGGCAGCACGCTGCCCCCAGCACAGAGGTTTCCTGTTTCTCAGCCCAGATGCAGAGTTGCCATGATTGTCCTGCCGAGAGGGGCACAGACATCTCTGGGTGCCCGACCGCAGTGCAGTCTGGCTGCATTTCCAGGTTCCGGCCTCGAGACATTCCTGCTGATTGTTACTTCATGAAACACACCGAGTCCCTAGAAGTTCTGGCTTCTGGAGCACACAGACTACATGGGACCTCAGAAACCCTACCTTAAATGCCCACAAGGGAGATCTGGCAAAGTGTGTGGGTCTATGCTCTCTCTTGCACATGTGTGGTCTCTCTCTCTTCCTCCCTCTCTCTCTGTATTGACTTTGTTCCATGTAGGTGCTACATGAATCTGAAATAAAGTACCTCTAATATGAGAAGTCAGTTTACTAATAAATGAAGCGCATACAGAACCATTAATTCAACGGAGTCAGCAAACATCTATTGGGTGACAATTGGCAGCCAGGCACTACTTGGAGACACAGAGGGAGCTCGCAGTCTAAAGGGGAAGACATGTGATCAGGTTAGAGAGGTGGTGACATTGCAGTGGGTTTTAGAAGAGGAGTCGGGGTTTATCAGGGGGGAAAGTGGGAGAAAGGCCTTCCAGGCCGAGGGAAGAGTAAGTACAAAGACATGAGGCACGAAGGAGTTTGGATGCTCGGGGAGCACAAAGCCCAGGACAGCTCAGCGTGAGTGTTGATGGTCGCCAGACAGGAGAAGGACTCAGGGGATGAGTGAAAAAGGTGAAAGGAATTAAGAAGTAAAAATTGCCAGTTATAAAATCAGTCATGGGAATGTAAAGTACCACTTAGGGGATATAGTCAATATTGTAATAACTATGTATGGTGTCAGAGGGCACTAGACTTATCAGGGTGATCACTTCATAATGTATATAATCACTATGTTGTATACCTGAAACTAAAATAATGTTGTATGTCAACTGTAATTTAAAATAAATTTATAAAAAAACATAGGTGAGTGTTGAGGGTAGTGACTCCAAAGATGTTAGATTAAACTTGGCAATAGTAATTTCTTTAAGTTATATTAATTTGTCAAGTTATTTTTAAAAATTATTTTAAAATACATTTTTATTGATTTAGAGAGAGAGGAAGGGAGAGGGAGAGAGAGAAACATCTATTGATTGCCTCCCATACGCACCCCGACCTGCAACCTGGGCGTGTGCCCTGATCAGGAATTGAACCCACAACTTTCTGGTTCATGAGATGATACTCAACCAACAAAGCCACACAGGCCAGGCTCAAGTCATCTGTTTTTCTGTTTGTAATTTACAAATGTCTTACTCAAAGCAACAACCTTCTGGTAATTCTGACCCTAGAACCTGGCCTTCTTCCAGCGGCATGTTCCCCATGGTGGCATGCAGCTTCACCACCTCCCGCCTCTGCCCCGGAGTGCGGAGCGACATTGCTCCCAGGGAGCTTGTGTTGGGGTCTCTGCTAGGCGCCAGGAGGCTGCAGGTAGAGGCCATGGCCATGTCTACGGACGAGGACCCACTGGCCACAGAAGAGCTGAGATTTGCCTGAGGTAGAGAATTCCAAGGAAGCATTAGGATGAAGGTGGAAAGACAAAAGCAAACTCTCCTGACAGCATTTGTGCAAGAGGAACAAAGGAGAGGGGAAGTTTATAGAGGGGGGAGAATCATTTACCTCTTCTAGGAAGGGAGGAATCTGCTTAACAGACAGAAAAGTCCTTTCACCTGCAGGGAGGTAGCTGAAGTGTGGTTGCACAAAAGATTTGGAACTGAGAGCCACACTCGGCTGGGAGAATTACACTGACTCTCAAGTTCGGTGTGAGGTGCAATGAGGTAACATGTGCAAATGTTTCGTAAACTCGAAGTGCCTCAGACCTGCTATCAGAAGCCTCCAGGTTAAAGTGAGTGTATCTTGAAACTTTGTGGGAATAAAACAGCCTAAGGCAGCCTTTCCTACAATAGCTCCCTCCTTTCCCCCATGCCTTCATTTCCAATCCCTATTGTGCTTTTTCTCAACAGGTCTCAGGACCTGAAAATAAACTGTTTATTCTCTCTCCCCTGCTAGACAGCCAGCTCCGTGAGAGCAAACCCTGCGGCTCTTGTCACCACTGTCTCTCCAAGTGCCCAGAGGCCTGAGGCATGGGAGGTGCTTCATACGAAATAGCTGTTCAATGTCCAGCGCATGCAAATGAACGCATCACCTGATTCTTCCAGGAGCGGTGCAGCTGGCTTTCAATTTTTGATTTGTTTCAAAGGCAGGTTCCCTGCCCCAACACTGAGGGACTCTGATTTAGCAGAACTGGCTATTGAATTTGCTGTTTTTAGCAAGTGCCCGGTGACTCTGTTGCAGGTAGTCACTGAGAAAGTTACTCTGAATCGGACAGATCTTGTTTGGACTCCAGCCTGCCACTCACTAGCCGTATGACTTCACCAAGTAACTTTGTAACCTCTCTGAGCCGGTTTCTTCACCTGTAAAGTAGGAATGACCACATCCTCAGGGAGTTATGATAATTAAATCAGGTGATGGATGTGAAGGTTTTGGCATCATGTCAGTTATGCCGTAGGCTGTCATCGTTTTTTTTATTGCCATTCTTGTGTTATTGCTATGCCCTGGCAGAACTTCCTCCCTGGAGGATCACTCACTCTTGGGAATCCTCAAAGTGTGGGCCCAAACCGGCAGCACCACAGCAGCTGGGGGCTGGTGAGAGACGCGGTCCCCGCCCCACGCAGGCCTGGGAATCAGCATTCGCATTCTGACAGGGTCCCCAGGCGACCTGTGCACACATTCAAGTTCGAAAAGCACTGCTGAACGTCACATGTACCGCGTTCTTCCTGTCTTTCATTTCAGAGTCAGCCCGGGAGGTTCCGAAGCCCCGGTATCCCAGAGGCTGAATCCTCGACCCGGCTCATTCGGCTGCACCTCCAGCTGAGGACCTTAGGAGAAGGGATTCCCTCACGGAGCTTCAACCAAGCCCACAGCCTCCGAGCAAGTGAGTGTGGAGCAGGGGATGGATCCGAACGCTGGCTTGCTTCCTGCGCCATCCCGGGCCTGTCCCCAGCCAGCAGAACCCTGTATGGAAGGGAGGAGCAGCCCATTGCCCCGTGAGCAGGGCAGAGGCGCCTCCTTCCCCTGGAACCAGGTCCCCAATCCCAGCCTGACGGACCCGGACTGGTTTTGGGATGAGCACATCCAGGCAAAGAGGGCCCGCGTGGAGACCATCATCCGAGGCATGTGCCTCTCCCCTAACCCTCTGGTGCTCGGCGGTGCCCGAGCCAGGGACGGCCCCAGCTGCCCAGAGAAGGCCCGGGAGCGGAAGAGGAAGCAGGACCTTCCCATGCAGCAACCCCCGCTGAAACCAGGGCCCTGCCGGGAGCCAGGGCAGCAGGAAGGGGGGCCCTCGCGTGAGAGAACAGCTTCGCCTGCTGAAGCAACAGCTGAGACGACTGCAGGAGCACATCCTGCAGGCCGAGCCCCGGGACTCGGCGCCCGGCCCTGGGAGTGCCAAGCAGAGGGATGGCTGTGGGCGGCCCGGGGCTATGGACAGTGGGCGCCACCAGGGTTCCAGTGGGGACCTCCCTGGGGTGGACGAACACAAAGTGGCTGAGGTCAGTCAGCAGCCAGAGGAAGCCAGGTTCCTTCCTTCTGGAACACGAGCTTTGCTGGAGATCCTGAGGAAAGAACTGACGGGGGCAGTGTCCCAGGCCGTGGACTCAGTGTTGCAAAAGGTACTGCTGGACCCGCCAGGCCACCTGACTCAGCTGGGCCGAAGCTTCCAGGGGCTGGTGCCAGGGGGCAGAAGCGAGACTTCACCTGAGGGAGGTGCCTGTGAAAACCCCCTCCCGCTGGCCGCCTTGCCCAGGGGGGCCCAGCCCCAGGCTGGATGCCCACTGGGAAACTCATCACTGGCCAAGCCTCTCTCTCCTAGATACCCTGTCTCCCCAAGAATGACCTCCAAACCCTGCCAGGCCCCCCCAACAAACTGTGCCATGGCCGTGCCTTCCCGCATGCAGGAAAGTCAGATTCTTGGTCAGCTCCTGGGCCATGGACCCCCTGGTCACTGGAGCGGCCGTCTCCCCCAGGGCGCATCTTCCCAAAGTCACTCCTCCCCGGAGTCTGGCCTGCGACCTTGGGGAGCTGTCAGACTGCGACCGTCGGTGTTGAGCCAGCAGTACCCCGTGCCCTTGGCTCCCACCTGTCTGGAGAAGCTGCCCTTTCTCCCCTCCGTGAAGATGGAGCAGGGGGGCCTGCAGGCTGCCGCCGAGGTGCTCCCGTTCCCTTCAGTCCACATATCCTTTACCAGAAGGGGACGTTCCCCGGTGACAGCCCGGAGAAGCGAACCCTGGAAGGCGGGGAGGTGGGGACAGAGAACTGCATGGCATGGGGGGGGGGGGCGGGGGGGGAAGCTTTGCTTTCTTTTCATTTTTTTAAAATATATTTTATTGATTTTTTTACAGAGAGGAAGGGGGAGGGAGAGAGATAGTTAGAAACATCGATGAGAGAGAAACATCAATCAGCTGCCTCCTGCACACCCCCTACTGGGGATGTGCCCACAACCAAGGTACATGCCCTTGACCGGAATCGAACCCGGGACCCTTCAGTCCACAGGCCGACGCTCTATCCGCTGAGCCAAACCGGTTAGGGCGGCTTTGCTTTCTTGATGGTCTTCTGAACGCTGCTTCTGGGCCTCCTCCCCTGTGGCTCACTGCTATTCGGTTCCCGAGAAAGTGGTGCCCACACTCCGGGGTTTAAGCCTGCTGGGAGGGACACTTCATTCTCCCTGGCGCATCAGATTCTACCACTACTCACTTAATGGCTTTGGGTCTGAAAGGATTTTGTTTTTAAACTCAAATGAGCTTCCAAAATATGGTAAGTGCGCTATGGAAGGAAAAACTCCATACGTTGGTTGTCAGCTGCCTACACACCTCAGCAGAAAGGGTCGAAGGAATGACCTCACCTGAGGCTTGGCTCCCCCAGCCTCCTGGCTCTCCAGGCAAAAGGCCTGCACTGTCTAGATCAGTGCTCACCAACCTTTGGGACCTCGCGGACCACTGGTCTAGATAATTCATGAGGAAGATCTGAGGGCCCAGACACTTCTGAGCCAGATGGGGAAGGAGACATTTTCCTCAGGGACTAGACCTGAGGCAACTGGGAGGGGGGAAGGAGCCCTCGGTGTAAGGAACAGCGTCTCAGCTGCAGCTGAGAGGACTAAAGTGGGGTTGGGCATGTGGAGGGAGAGGAGACCCCTGAGGAAGGCTGAGGTGTGCAGGGGTCTGGACCTTTTGCATCAGCTTTGCCACCTTTAGGCAGGCTCTCCCCCGCCCCCGCCCCCAAATATGGAACGCTTCACAAATTTGCGTGTCATCCTTGCGCAGGGGCCATGCTAATCTTCTCTGTATCGTTCTGATTTAAGTATATGTGCTGCTGAAGAGAGCACTCCTCTCTTAAATAGTGTTTCCCAGAGTACAGCTCTCTCCGGATATTAACAGTTGCTGACTTAGGGGGAAAGAAGTAGTTTCAGTAAATACTGGGTTAGTGTCTTTGCTGCGGGACTTCTCAGAGCCTTTAACATGCTGAAGTCCAATGTGAAGCTCTAAGAGGGGAATGTATGCAGTCCCAAACTCATGTGACCAACAAGTATCTTGTAGGACTTAAGTTCCTGACAACACATTTTGGGGTGTTGCCTTTTTAAATTGAGCTGAGCTCACGCTGCTGCTTCTCAAGGGCGGCCCTGAATTGAGTGTCCAGAGGTCAATGTGCCTGCAGTGTGAACAGTCTGGCAAGCTGTATTAAGGGCGGCAGGATGGGGTGGGACCGGCTCATTGCCACACCAGGGCTGGCTCTTCTGTCCTGAATGCTATGTGCGCCCCCTGCTGGTCACAGATGTTGGGAACACCCCAAAGCTGGGTGCACCCGGGTGCTTTCCAGGCAGGCAGTAGCAACAATAAAACCAATGCTAAGAACACGTCACCTGCCACCACTGCCTCTGCAGGCAGCAGGGGACCTTGGAGCTACAGAGATATCAGCATAGACAGACTTTCTTGTTAGGCGATCACCCTGTGCGAGAAAGGCTACCTGTCTGGTTAAGACTCCCTGTGAAGGTCAGGCAGTGGTGGAAGAAACTCAAGAACTCAGTCCCCAAAGATTCTCTGCTGTGCTTCCCTTGGGAGGGGCATGCTGATCTTTCCCAGCACCTACTGTGCGCCTGCCCTGCCCTGTGAAATGAGGATTGGGCTCAGAGAGCTTCAGGGCCCATGCGCTGGGCCTGGCTGCACAGGTGAGGTACTTGGCTACCTTTGGAATGCTTTGGAGCCCCCAGGCAGCATCCTGAACCCCCAAAATTCCCACATTCCAGCATTAGAGATTTATTCCCATGGGTCATAAAAGCCACTTAAGAGCAAGATAACTCTGACCTTTAAAAGAACTTTCACATTCATGACATCCCCCTGAAATAGGTGAAGCAGGTGTGATTAGCAGCTAATAACGAGGTGGCATTTGCTGTGCACTTTCTCTGTGGCAGGCACTGCTGCCAGCATTTCCCACGTACGAGTCCACTACCGCTGAGCTACATTCTGAAACTCGAAAAGCTCTGAAAATCCCTATGATTTCTTTTCCCTAAGGCTGATGGGAGCTTTGTTTTTTGGTGGCAAACCTGGCCTGCACTGATTGGAAGTTACTTACAGATCATCCCACTTAGTGTAAATAGTCATCCATTTGGCTGTGGAAATATTAATGTATTGGATTACAGACGGCTGCCACAGCCTCTGTTGTGGGGTTAACTAACATATGGCACACCGACCAGAGGACCTGCATGAAGGAACAGAATTCTGAAATCTGGCCTCCATTTGGCCAGTGTTTCAGATGAGAGGTTGTGGGCCCCAAGCATTCTAGTGGGCACTACAGTTAGACCCGGTCTCTGAGAGTGGGGCAGAAAAGTGAACTTGCCCAAAGTCCCAAGACAGACACGTGCAGAGCCAGGACTCAGACCCAGGATCTGACTGCCAAGCTGTCACCACTGCATTCTACATTTAGAAATGGCCCAGAGAAGGTAAGTGGCTTGCCCAAACTCACACAGCTAGTTGGTGGCAAAATCAGTATCTGAAACTGGGTCTTTGGACGCCCAAGTCCAGGATTCTTTCCACAGCATGTGTGAACCTATGAGAAGAATAAGAAGTGCCAATGAGGCAGGGAGCAAGGGGCTTCAGGAAGCAGCCTGAGTGCCAGGCCAGCTAGAACTCTAATCAGTTGGTTTCCTTTGGCTACACTGGTATATCCTACTAAGGAGTCTTAAAGCTCTAGCTCCCGGACCCGAGAGCTCCCAGGTCCTCTGTGTAAAGCTTCTCACCCAGTCCTGGGACTGTCCCCGGCAATGCTTAGAATTCCTGTGTAAAACACTTCGTTTCCCTCCCACTCTGGTGCTAGGCAGTCATATCACAGCTCCCTGCTCTTGTTAAAGGGGAAGGACTGAGGTATGGGTTGGAAGACAGTTTCCCTAGTTGTGCATGGATTAAGGTTGACCATTTAATCATTCACTCATTCCTTTATCTAACAAACATTTATTGAGCACCTACTATGTTCCTAGCACTGGGCTAGGCACGTGGAATACAAAGATGAAAATATAAGGTCCTTGCCCCCTGAGGAGCTCACAGTCTAAACAGGGAGACAAACATGCAGTGAAAATTCTAATAAGGTCATTGCTACAACAGAGGAATGTGCAAAGAGCCTGGGTAGCCCAGGGTGAGGACAGTAAATGGACAAGGAGAGGTTTCCCCGAGGAGGAAGCTGCTGAGCTGAGACAGGAAGGAGGAGGGACGTTCTTCCAGGCGGACTGAGAGCAGGTGCAGAGCTGCAGCTCAAGTTCCTTGAGGCAAAGTCAACAGTGACCTGCTACTGTCTGGTTAGATGCTTGTTGGCTTAAACACTGCAAAGGCAATTATGAGAGTGAGAATGGGGACCATCGAGTTGACTCTTCTCATTTTACAGATGAGGAAACTGAGGCAGAAGGGAAAGGAAGTCTTGGGGTTTTCAAATGGTTTATCTGGGAAAGAGCTGCCATCTCTTCCCATCCTATTCTGAAAGCAGATGCAAAGTACAACAAACTGATTTATGCCACAGAACGTTTACACGTCAAGGTGGTTTTTAAATTCTGCACCTGTGCTGTCATATATGGTATTCAGCACCCGGGAGGAAAAAGCTTACTGGGTCAGACTTGCCAGAGACACAGAAATGGAGCAAATATAGGATTCAACCAAAATAAAAATAAAAACCATAAGAAACAGGACAACTAATTCATAATTTGATGATATTATTTGATAAACTGGTGTTCATTTTCCTTGACCCGGGGATACATCCAGGAGGGTCTAAATCCTGGTCACTTGAAGAAGGCCAAACTAATGTTTTTCTTCACACGCTACCCCAGCTCCAACCTCCTGAAGGCGTATTTCCCCGACGTCCAGGTAAATTCATCCTATTGAGTGTCAGCTTCTCACAACTCCCGAGTGGCATTGGGTCGCCCCGTGTGAGGTGTGAGGCAAGTGCCAGGTCATCATGTGCACACCTTAGCTCCCCTTAATGTTGGCCGCACTGGTGTGATTTCCAGTTCAGGGGTGAGACTTGGCTGAATAATCATGAATAACTTTGAGCTAGGAAAGTTGAGCTTTTGAGCTGTAGATATACCCAGAAGCACGTGGGGAGGAAGTTGGGGGCAGTGAGAAACATTAGTAAATGGTGTCTTTGGCCTAGTGTTCTGTCTTTGCTGAGGACACTTCGAAAAAGACAGAATATACAGAGAGTTGGACACTGTTGAACTGGCATTCAAATAGCTGCGTTTCAAAGGGAGTGAGGTACATCCAGATCAAGTGTGACAACAAGGAAAATCAAGCTCTGATGGTTGGAGCCAGACCTTGTCTGTTCCCTGAGAGCAGCGGTTCTCAACCTGTGGGTCGTGACCCCTTTGGGGGTCAAACGACCCTTTCACAGGGGTCGCCTAAGACCATCGGAAAACACATATATAATTATATATTGTTTTTGTGATTATCACTTTGCTTTAATTATGTTCAATTTGTAACAATGAAATTGGAGGCCACCACAACATGAGGAACTGTATTAAAGGGTCGCAGCATTAGGAATGTTGAGAACCACTGCCATAGAGTTTCTAAGGGCCTCTGTTCCCTTGGGTGTTGGGTTAGGACTAATACTTTGTATATATGTCATTCCTTTGCCTTTCCCATGTCTTTCCCTCATGTTCTGTTGCTTGGTTGATCCCTACACCAAGCTCTGATTTCCACTCATTCTGCAACTCCAAGTTGCTGATAAACTGCTCTCTGATCTGCACACTCACTTCTTCCCTTGGCCCCTTACCTGGCAGAAGGCTCTGGGGCTGCCATACAATTGGCCCAGCCACAGCAGAAGCTGGTACCAAACTGGCTTTGACCCTGGACATTCCCAAATGGCAAGCTTTCCATGGGTGAAAAACCTTCATTAATCCAGGACATCAAAATACATTTTTTTTCTAGTGGGCACTACAGCTAATCCAGATTTTTTCTGTACATGACTGAATAGGCTTAGAAAATAGCCATGGCTGCTGCTACTGCTACTCCTTTTTTTGTTAATCCTCATCCTCACCCGAGGAAATTTTTCCATTGATTTTTTATTTTATTATTATTATTATTTTTTAGGGAGAGTGGAAGAAGGGTGGGAAGGACAGAGAAACATCGATGTGAGAGAAACACATCGATTGGTTGCCTCCAACCAGGGCCAGGGCCGGAGAAGCCTGCAACCACGGTACGTGCCTTTAACTGGAATCGAACCTGGTACCCTTTGGGCCACAGGTCGATGCTCTATCCACTGAGTCAAACCGGCTAGGGCAGTGGTCGGCAAACTGCGGCTCAGAAAATGGCGGCTCACGAGCCACATGCGGCTCTTTGGCCCCTCTAGTGTGGCTCTTCCACAAAATACCGACTTCTGCGCATGGGCCACGAAGTTTCAATCGCACTGTACATGCGCACCCGCATGTGTTATTTTGTGGTATTTTGTGGAAGAGCCACACTCAAGGGGCCAAAGAGCCGCATGCAGCTTGCCGACCACGGGGCTAGGGCCATGGCTTCTTTTTCAAAGGAGGCCCTTTCCATGTTGGCTGAAGCCATTCTGATTAATCTGCTGTTGAACTGGATGCTGACAGTTCTACCCCTGAGCACCTGGTGGTAAATGGCTGACTGATGGACCTTGTTGCTTGTGCAGTTCAACCGCTGCATCACCTCCCAGATGATCAAGTGGTTCAGCAACTTCCGAGAGTTCTATTACATCCAAATGGAGAAATCTGCCCGGCAGGCAATTTCAGATGGCGTCACAAATCCCAAAATGCTCGTGATTCTCCGCGACTCAGAGCTTTTTCGAGCTCTCAATATGCACTATAACAAGGGGAATGACTTTGAGGTAAGACCATGTACCTGGGTCCCATGAGGTTGGATTTTTAGAAAAGATCCCCTTCTGTGTGTCTGTCTTTACATCATCGAGAGCCAGGGCAGCCCGGGCTAACCTCTGTCCCATCTGCAAAGATTATAGCCTCCATAGCTCCTCTTCAACAGGTGGATGCTGCAAACTGAATAAGCAGAGGTCTGCCAGGTGTTATGCCACTTTAGGCTTAATCCTCCATGATTATCAACTCACAGGAGGCCCAGGACTAAATGCTGGGCTCAGTTGCAGCACCTAGGCTTGGCCCAAGTTTTCTTCACAACAGTTTCTGTCCATCATTTGCTTCTTATCTTTATTCTCACTTGAACCGTTTTCTCTGTGGGCCTTCCACGGCAAGTCATCTCAAATCCTTTCTGGAAATAATGAACAAACAATATTCAAGCTTCTTAGTCCTGTGGTAGCACCTTAGAGGTAAGGCATCAGTAAAGGGAGAGCAAGTGGCCTAAGAGAACTCCGCCTCCGGACACGCGTTTCCCTGCGTGCAGCCGACAGCTCTGTGCGCCTGGTGTCTTGCTCTGCAGGTGCCAGCTGTGTCTGGTCACCCGGCCCACTCGCCTCTTCTGATCTCTCACTTGACTGTAATCACCATGAGCAGTGTGTTGATACCTCTGGGAAAGGGAAGACTCGCTGGCATGTGCTGGTCAGGTGCTCCATCCCAACATGTTTGCAACTGAGCTGACCTGTGGGTAAAACAGACTGTACCGCCTGAGGCGTGTGGGGTCAGGATGTGTGGGGCAGGCAGTGCTGCTGCATCTCCCCAGGTGGGGTGGTCGCTTGGCATGCAGTGTGGCAGGCCTGGGCCAGGCTGAGTCGGGAGGACCTGTGGGTGCCAGTCGGAGTGCGGTCCTGGAACAGATTCTTTAGCCCCCTCAACCTCATGGTTGATTTTGGAAGCAGAAATGATTCCAAGGCCTATGGGTCCAGCCTCTAAAGGTGGTGGGATGAGGTACGACAGTCATAAACTTGGGGGCACTCGTTCCCATGGTGCGCCCTAAGGAAAAGAATGCTAAACACCTCTTTTGAACCACAGGTTTCCGGTCAATCAGAGTCAGAGTTTCCCACTTTAAGAATGTCTCCCATGAGTGGAATCAGCTCCTGCTACCAAGGGACTGTCCTTAATAGGCTTTCTCCCAGGGCTGTCTCATTGGTACAGCCTTTTAAGGTTTGTAGTCGATATGAGGGAGCAGGGGATTCCTACGGCTGCAAGAATCAGGGCCCAGTAGAGCAGGGATGCTCTTATCAGCCGCCCTGGGAACAGGAGCGCCGGGCAGTGAGGTTGCAGGGCTCCAGGGCTTCCCAGCCTCATGTCTTCTCTTTCTTGTGTGTCTCGTTCGGAATGCAGGTCCCGGATTGCTTCTTGGAAGTCGCCAGCTTGACGTTACAGGAGTTCTTCAGGGCTGTCTCCGCAGGGAAAGACTCAGATCCTTCCTGGAAGAAACCCATTTATAAAATTATTTCCAAGCTGGACAGTGACATCCCAGAGATATTCAAATCTCCCAGCTATCCCCAGGAGCTGCTTCGGAACGAAGATCCCACAGAGCGAGGAGCAGCTGGCCAGGGTTTCCTGGGTTTGTCTTAAATGGCCGCTGTGGTGATATAAAAGGGGCCTAAGGACAGACCTCCCCCACCCCACCCCAAACAGGAACTATTACCATTTCTGATCATTTATTTTCTTTTCCCGAATCACCAAAGTTTGACCTTAACTATAATATAGATCAACCAAGTGTAATGGTGTGTTGGTAGCATATTGTAAAAGGAACACAACGGTGTTTTGGAATCAGAGGACTTAAATCCCCAACCTACTATTTCCAAGTATTGTGACCCTGGGACCTTGCAGGTAATCTCTGCATCTGTAAATAAATACTCTGTGAACTGTTACTCACTACACGTTAGTGTTTTCCCCCGTGGCTTTCACATAAGGTTATCTTAGTTGGTTTGTCTGTTATTGTTTTTTACAAATTGCTGGTTTTAGTTACCTATTGGTCAAGCTCCACCTAGTTGCTAGACACTTGAAAATACATTATCTTAAGCTTTTTACACCGAAAAGAAGATATTATCTTCTTCTTTTTTTTTTTTTTTTAAAGTAACCAAACAGACGTTTTAGAAGTGACATAACTCGCCAATGTACAAGGCCAGGGCGTTTGGGTCGGTAGGGATAGTCAGACGTGTGGAGGAACCCGAGACCTTCGGGTGCCAGATTGTCTCCTGAGCACCTCACGCTGCCCGTCATGATCTTCAGCAGGCCACCTCCAGGGAGCACCCGCACGGAGGGGGCACTGCCACCTGACAAGCCCTGCCCACACTTAGGAGTGCTTCCCCACCCAGAATGTCCTCCGATCATTCCAGCAAGCCCAACACAAACTTTCTGCCGGACTTGAGTGTTGCTGTTTGTTCACATTTGTCTGCTGAAGGGTTTATCCACTGGACAACCCTAGTTGTCTGTAGTTGACCAATTGATGCCCTCACCTCCTATGTGCAGAAGCTGCACTCGAGAATGCAAAAGCTAGGAAGGGCCCTAGGAGGTCATCCCACCCACCCTGCTTCGATCAGGAAGGAGGAAACGGAGGCCCAGACAGGAGACTGGCACAGCCTGTGCACACCTCACATGATGAGTGGCACAACTGGGACAAACAGCATCACACAGAGAAATGGCAATTCCCCCACTCCATAAGGAAATTACAGCCCATGGTCCATCTTTCACAGATAAAGGAATTCATGGAACCAACATTTATTTTACTATTTTCCTGCTGGCCCAATGCAAATTGTGACTCACTCGGAGGATATAGGCAAGTCATCTGCCAGGTCGAATAACTGTGTCTGTCTTCTAAGAGAGTCAGAATTAAGTGTTTGGAAACTCTGCCCGAGGTGTGCAGGCTGGGGTGAGGGCACACAGCTCGGGCTCTGATTAAGGGGTGTCTGTGACTTTAGCTGCCTTCTTTCCCATCGACATAAAACAAGTTTTCATATTCAATTACCCACTTCCTTGACTTTTCGGGTGGGCTGGATCAGATGAGATAAAATCCCTAACTATTGCTAGATGTGTCAGCATGAAAATGTATGAAAGATGACTTTCTTCTGCATTTTCATTTACTTCAAACAGCTGAGAGGAAAAACAAAACAAGCATGCTCCGCCCAAATGAATCTTCTCGCTTTAAGGTTATTCTGAAGTGACCTTCAATATGTCCAGTTGCACTCAGATCACCTTTGCCCTATTTTCGGCCACAATGTTCCCTTTACAAAAGTGAAGGAATCTGCCAAATCTAGGTTTTAAAAGTAGGCAAGCCCCGAGTACCCAGAGCAAGTAACTCAGTTATGTGTGTGGAGGCAGCAGAAGAGCCCACTACCCAGAGTGATCTTGCATGGCTATTTAAGAGTTTCGTGGGAAACAATTCCAAGTTCTCATGATTGTCTGATATGGAGCAGCCATTTTCTGTCCCAAACCTGAAATTCATTACTGTGTTTGTTAAAGACTGAGCCAAGCCACCTCCGGAGCAGTGAACCTTGTCCCAGGGACCAATTAGGTGAAATGTACAAACTCAAATGGAAAACATTTGTGTCCTGCAGTCTTTCCAGGAACTGTTTTCGAACCACTGAGCTAAACACAGAAGAATGTATAAATATATATGCTCTGCCAACAGAAGTCCGTTTCATTATATTTTTCTGTTTCTACCAAGTATATCTCTTTTTCTGCTGGGAACGCATTCTGAGTGTAAGCTGAGCTGGTTATTGTTCTTTTAGCAGCCATTACATTGCCAAGGTCTGGTCATTCTTTCCATTAAGATATATGTGGGCATCATTCTCTCCCAAATTAGACATATTCAGAGTCTGGTCGAATACTGCATAATTGTCTAATACTTCAATGGTGAGCAGTGGGGCCTGGACTGTGTTTTATGATGATGGCACTATTTAGGAGTTAATGCCCAGTTATTAATTAAAAGCAGGCAGTTAAGTGACATTCCATGCAGGAAAAGGTTTATTAGGAACCTTATTTCAAACACTAGTGGCCCGGTGCACGAATTTGTGCACATTGAAAAGAAATTAATTAGAAGAAATATTTTAATATCGCTATTCGCCCTTTCTCTATAATAGAAGTGTCAACAAAATTCACGATCGACAATGACAGATGGAAACACAGGCATGCGATTGGTGCCAGTGAGAGCTTTATATGTATCGCGAATGCGCAAGTCAACTTAGCCTTTTATAGATATAGAATAAACTTGCTTAATTAGACCTGCTTTCTGATTTAGCTAAACTTTTTCCAGCCCAGTGAAGCACCCCAACTTCTTTTTCAGGTAATTGTCAGCAACACAGCAGTAAATATCAACACAAAGCAGATTATTATTGTAGATCACGCAGGGAGAACAAAGGGTAAAATATTTACCTGCAGCAGTGTTTGACTATATTCTGTGCAGTGAGAAAACCTGAAGTCATTTTCAAGGTCCACCATTTCTTACTTCTTTTCAGTCGGGTCAAGTTTCTATGCTTCCTGAATCTCTGTTTTCCAGCTAATGAAAAGAAGATAGGATTCCACCAAGTCTCCTATCTACCTACTCCAGGAATTCTGTGAGGATCAAATGAGATGAGGCCCAGGAAAACATTTCACAGACATTTGGTTAAAGTGTGAAATGTTTGCACCTGGCTATAAAGCAAGTCGTTGCTAAGGACAGGAAGCGGGCGTTACTATGTGACGTCATTACCCAGACGGACACTTAGCATATTAACCTTTTATATAATAGATGGTTTCATACAGTATACACAGCTCCAAATTGGATTCATACAGCGAAGAGGCCAAAGGTACCTCCTGGACGTAGAAGGAGTGCCCAAACCATTTCCTTTCCATCAGAGAAAAGGCAAAGCAGAAATGGCAGAGATAACACAGCACTCTTCAGTAAACACAGCCCCACATTATATGAAGGTCCTTTTAAAAAAAGTTGTTTTCAATAACAACTTAATTTAAATACAGTGGGGCCTTGACTTACGAGTGTCCCGACTAACGAGTTTTTTGAGATACCAGCTCTCTCGGCTGATTTTTTGCATTGAGTTGACAGTAATTTGAGTTAACAGCTCCTTAATGAGCTCCTTAACGAGCTCGGTCTCGGAACGAATTAAACTCGTAAGTCAAGGCCCCACTGTAATTTTTTTATTTTTTAGAATGTACATTCTTTTCTTTTCTTTTTTTAAAATATATTTTATTGATTTTTTACAGAGAGGAAGGGAGAGAGAGAGTTAGAAACATCGATGAGAGAGAAACATCAATCAGCTGCCTCCTGCACACCCCCTACTGGGGATGTGCCCGCAACCCAGGTACATGCCCTTGACCGGAATCGAACCTGGGACCTTTCAGTCCGCAGGCCGACGCTCTATCCACTGAGCCAAACCGGTTTCGGCGGCCCCACTGTAATTTAAAATAAGACCTCCATAACATAATTTTACATGTGTGTTTAGAAAATATTTCTTTTAAAAAATCCTTATGAAATTTGCTAAAGATTTGGTAACCAGTTTCCTGGATGAGCTCCTATATGTTTTAAATTTTCATAATCTTTGTTTCTAGCTTTTCTCTATAGTTTTGATCCTCAGCTCTATAAAGCAGATCATTCATTCAAAAGAAAAGAGAAATTTAAAAAATCCTTTGATGTTTTTACACAAACTCTATTAGGCATTTGCATAAATTTCACATAGAACAAGATCATTTTTTCAGGACTGAGAAAATTGGAAAAGATAATGAGACAGAATGATGGCTGATAGAGAAATAAAGAACACACTGGGCCCTAGCTGGTTTGACTCAGTGGATAGACGTTGGCCTGCGGTCTGAAAGGTCCTGGGTTCGAATCCGGTCAAGGGCACATACCTGGGTTGCAGGCTGATCCCCAGTAGCGGGCGTGCAGGAGGCAGCCAATCAATGATTTACTCTCATCATTGATGTTACTATCTCTCTCTCCCTTTCCCTTCCTCTCTGAAATCAATAAATATATATATTTTAAAAAAGAACACATTGGCTAATATAAGTTATGGTTCTATCAGGCTGATGATTAAATTATGCTCTGGGGGGAAAATTTGTGACAATATGGCAAATATAATACCTCTTATATAAAAATATTCTTGGTCAGCATTAAGCATGTACAATATACACTGGAAAGAATGAACTCTGATGACCTATTTCACAGCATTAATAATGCAATCTATCTCTCTGAGGTAGATCATGGTACCTACACTGTATGTACTAAGTGCTCAACTGTGGAAAAAGAGAACTCATGAAAAGAATGTACTCCAGGGGTAGATAATTCCTATAGATCAAGAAGCTCTTTCAGACTATATAAACCTAAATAAATGTAACCAAGTACCCAGGAGTTGAATGCCCAGTCATATCTTAAACTCCCAGGTTGTTAGCCTCAAGAGGAAGGAAATGTCTGCCGAAATGGAAACAGCAGAGGGACATCTGCCCCAAACCTCCCCAGTTTCACATGTCCTTTCACATGTCCATCTACTCACTGAGGAGTCTGCCTTCTCTTTCACCAAGAGTCTCCTGGGGTTATGTTGTTTCTCACAATCTCTCTCCTTCAGGCTCACAAACTTTTGTTTTGTCATTTCCAAATTCACCAGAGTCAACCCTCAAACAAACGTCATGTCCTAGTCTTCCCTTAGAAAACCCTTTCTCTCCCCATATATACTGATTTCTGCAGTTCAGACTCCTATCTCCTCGAACACTGCTTCTGGCCTGGAAATGTAGCCTTAGGCAAGAATGTGTCTCTGTGCTCAGTCATCTCCACTTTAGCCTCAGTTACCTGATTTGCTGCCGGCACTCACCCCCTTCACTTTCTCTGCAACCAACACCTTTCCTAAGTAGATTACTGTGGTTAGGTGCATGAACCCTGGAGAACATGTTTTCATCCTGGTTCTGTTACAGCAGCGGTTCTCAACCTGTGGGTCGCGACCCCTTTGGCGGTTGAACGACCCTTTCACAGGGGTCGCCTAAGACCATCGGAAAACACATATATAATTACATATTGTTTTTGTGATTAATCACTATGCTTTAAT